TATTTATATTTACGTTTATCAAAGTATCAAACCATAATCAGGTAGGTAAATATTTTAGTCAGATGGTGATTCCATCTTTTTTTTTTATTTGATTTCCATTAAAATGCCGAATGACAACTTGAAAACTTATCTGTATTTCAAATTTCGAAATTTTTATTGTACGCTTCTAAACATAGAGAAAATCTACTTAACCAGTTATGACTTGTATATTCAACGATTATTTAAAGGAATCCCTCTTTATGCATTTTTTTCTATTTTTGATTTATCGTACCAAAGGCCTGAGGCCATTGTACTGAATAAAATTCATATTCAAAATGCCAAATGTGAAAATTGACCGCACGCTAAAGTTAATTGCGTATTGTAAGCGACCTCGACCTACAATACACATGTAAAGTGAAAGACCATGCCCTCATGCAAGCAAAATATTATTTAAAAAAAAATAGAAAACATCCTATGACAATATGTCATGTATAAATTGCAGCACAGCTGTTAAGCAGCTAAGCACACGTGCTGGTTTTAAATTCGCTTATTTTGTACTTTTGCCGATGATGGTATTACTGCGCATGCGCATTTCCACAGGATAGTACATCGCCTCATTGATTTTACCCATGATCCATTATGATTTGTAGCGTCGAATTTTTGAAACTCTGATAAGCCCACCGGTATATGACATTCATAAATTCATATTTTTTTTTTTATTTTGCGATAACCTAATAGCTTGACAGTCAGTAGTGTCGGTATTTCTGCACACTACTATGCCTAAATTTGTGTGCATAATAGTGCCCAAATTGTATTAAAATACCCGGATGCTGGATTTGTCTTCAGAAAATACAACCTTCAAACAAATCTAGCTGACATGTGGTGACAATCATGCCGGTGAAGACCTCTAGAATGATTGCTAATTTAGAACCTGCATACATTGTTTTTCATTATGCTTTGAAGTCAATTTGATGATTTGATTCAGAGTTGATGCAAGATGTACTATTGGAAACATATCTTTAGGGGCGTTCCACGTTGCTAAGACGCGCCCAGTGTACCACGTATTTCCAATGGGCTCTGCGCGAGCTGCTGTAGAACGCCGGTCGAAGCTCCGGTGAAAACAGCCAGTCAAGGAAACAGCACAAACTCAACTTTGAAGTAACCCCGAGAAACCAAATTAATATATGTTGCACAAGCAGTGGTAATCTTGTTACACTGTTCAAGGGAGTCTTAACAACCATCCCAAAATGCATGTTGATAGTTATCGGCCTTTGTTTTCATCGTGATGTTTGCTAAACGGTGAAAATACCCGGATGCCCCCCCGAATCACAACATTTCAGATAGATCATTTACGGGTTCTTGTGTCACGTTGTATTTGTGTTCTAATACGTGACAATTATCCGCTATTTTGTAGTTCTTGTTCGTAGTTGGGGTTACAAAACAGCAAAATATCAACCAATAACCAATACCTATAACACGAAGTGTTTCAGGTAAACGTTTGACTTATAGAACTTGCCCTGAACTTCTGAAAAATTCACAAACTGCGATTGCGATAAAATGAGCTGCTGACTGCGCGCCACGCATGCACAGACAGAAATCGTGGCGCACACCACTCGCGCACTACTTGAAAGTTACTTGAAAGTTATCTGCCCAGTTAATAAAATATACATATTGAGATGACTTGGTGGAGTGGTCTATGGATGTTGGCGAGACAGAGATAGAACACTTTGTCAGGATGTGCGTGATGTGGGTTTGGGGATTTTTTCACGCGGGGAAAGACAAACAAAATGTTGTTTTCTGCTGAGAAATCTGCGTCACTAAGATGGTTTCAACTGAGCATGCTGAATTTCAAAAATGTAACTATAGTTATAGAATATTTATAAAACAAGCTAGATAAAACCATTAATGTTAACACTACGATAAAATGTGACCCGTTTGCCGACAGTTAGTCATCGCCGGAAGTACGTCACAAGTTAAGAACAGAATAATGTGTGAGTTGTTGGAGCTTTGTATTTCACAGTTGACCGCAAATATATTTTATTTATTGAGCAAAACCAATCGTGACAAATGCAATAAAAACACAACTAAGTCGATTCAGTATTATCACAACGGGCGTGGATTTAGATGGCACATGGATTTGTTTTACTTTGTTAATTTCACCGTGTGTAATTGCAGGCACCATGTGTATCATTATTATACTCACTCTTGTCAATTTCAATAAGTCACCGCTCTGGCATTGTAGCGAAAACACAAAAATGGCGTATAGTAGCTAGATGTAATTTCGTTAAAGGGCACTGGTCGTCGCCCGCTCATTTGCGACATTTGCGCTCTTTTTATTGAACTCACAAGTACGAGGGTTGACCTGGGCGCACCTTGCACTAATTACTATCGGCGACCTTTTAGATACCTTACTATAACCTCAATAAAATTCCTAATTGAAGCTTGGTATCCTCCCAGCACTCGTTAATAGACCATTTTCCGTACACTGCGAGAATCACGCGTTATGCGTGAAATCGAACGTAAAAACAGGACAAACAAAGGTCATAGCGTCGTAGTCGCGTCAAACATCGCGCGGGATTCGACAAACGCGAAAGTATTTCGGGGACATTTCCATGCTTAATAATGTGCTGTCCACATTTGATGATAGGCAATTTCGATTAAGTAAGGGTATTCGGAAGCAATATTCCTCTGTCGAAGATCGGCCGGTCAATGTAAGCTGCGAAATAAAAAAATTCAAGTTCAAAATCAAATCGTTCGATTTTTGCGGCAGACGTTCGACGCGCGTCTTTCATGCATTTCGCGAGATCTCGCAATTGTTCGGAAAATCACCTATTTGCACAACAATCAAAATCGCCGTCGTTGTTCATAAGAGACTCATAAATTGCGCTTGCGTGGCGCAACAACCACCGCCCTTTAAGATTGACAAATATCTAAAATAAAAATAAAATATTATTGTCACACAATTCCACATCATTCAATACGCCGTCCTTTTCAACAATATAAATCTCGTTGCTAGAGGGTGAAACCTCGGTATCTACATTCATTATCTGCCACGAGTTAGCCATTAGACGTAAATGGACGCCAAGTTCTCGAAGAGAGCGAGAAAGCACGATACTTTATTTGTTTTGTCTCTGGAATATTATTTCATTCTCTCGATTCCGCTGTGCCAAAGAATGCCCGTCCGCATACAACAATTAAGATAAGAGGAGCAGTGGACATGATAACAAGAAGAAATGAAATACTAATCAAGGAGAAAATACAAATCTTGTGGCTCTGTCTCTCTCAACGTGATCTCGGCGGCCAGTAAAGTCTAACGTCTATTACGACGGTACATCTATTTTGTTTTTGACTTGCTATGGGCGTTATTCACTTAACAGGGCTGCTACAAAACACATATACACTGTGTCGTGCTAACATATTCTCAACCACGACGCACACATATCTCAACGCAATATTCAGAGTTAGTGGAATACATGAGGGGCCTATGAAATTGTAAAACTAAATTTGAGACTAAGAGCAGGTCAACACAAAAAGGAAACATATGTATGATGCATTCACGACATTACAAAGGATTTTTATATTCAAATAATAGTATTTTTAACCATGTGTATGAGTCATTTGATTCTATATATGCTTTACGATTTGTGGTCAGAAATGAAATACAAAACACGATTAATGGATTATTGCAGTCACGATTGCCACAACGTACTTTCTTCATGCTACACTGTACTACCACTATAATACACTGCACTTTCTCCATGCTACACTGTACTACCCCTATAATACACTGCACTTTCTCCATGCTACACTGTACTACCACTATAATACACTGCACTTTCTCCATGCTACACTGTACTACCACTATAATACACTGCACTTTCTCCATGCTACACTGTACTTCCCCTGTACTAAACTGTAGTATCCATATGCTACATTGTACCACCTGTATGCTACACTGTACTACCTTTATGCTACATTGTACTACCTTCATGTTATACTGTACTACCTTCATGCAGAATTGTACTACCTTCATGCTACAATGTATTCTCTATTCTACAATGTACTCTCTATTCTACACTGTACTACCCCTGTGCTATACTGTACTACCCATATG